AAATGGTTTATTGGAATGCTGAAGCGTTTCTATTTAAGGGCTGATTCAAAGACTGATAGGAAGCGACTGGTGACGTGGAGCACGAAGATGATGGTGACAGCATTTGATCAGTCAAGAAGAGACACTGCTGTCGACAACGTGCGAGTGGAGCCCTTGAAAGATGTGATCCGTACGCAAACTCCAGCGTACAACTAACATGGATGTTCCCGAGTCACACTCACTCACATCTTATAAACGACTACGACTTCTTTAATTTAAGCGAATACCATTCGTTTCTACTTACTGAGAATCGTCGTAAGAATAAAGTAATGATTTTCAATTGCATTAAGTGACAGAATAAGCACACAAAACAATGAGCAAAAAAGAGCGTTATAGATTGCGCTGAAGAGGAATGTATACTATTAATTTGAAAGTTGCCCCTGAGGCAGGAAGTTGATCTCACTATACTCCTCCCCTCTGTGCACTATTACTGCACCCTCCACTTTCTCTGGACTCCTTCTTATGAATTGACGAACAATTAGGGCGTTCAAAATGGGGAAGCGCAATTGTCCTACCAAGGTGCGCTGCTCTACCTGCACGACGGTAAGTGAATTCAGTAGCATCAGAAGCGGAATGCGCCTCCATTTCTTAGAAGCTGTTCGTCAATGTCACTGGTGACCGATGAAGAACATAATGGCAGAATTCAATCCCACTGTCAGGTGAAATTGAGAGGCTGACTGTCATGAAGAGGAAAACTGCTGAATCATCGGTCCACGATGACCTATGAAAATGCAGAAGATTCTGTTCGAAGGGTAGTGTGGTCCGCACTGGGCAGCAGTGTGCCAAATTTGCGGCGCAAGTTTGTAGGGTAGACAAGGCAAGGCGCAAATCTGCTTCAGTGTCACCTCCCTTTTTCGAGTGACTCCGCTCCACAACTCCGTTTTCAAAATCGCCTTCAGCGAAAAGACCATCAGACGACGGATACATCGGACGACCACTGCGAGTCATTCTATAGGTCACATAGCATTATAATAAGCCACTACGATTCTGAATGGAAGTAGAATGCGTGCCGCATCCCACAAAGGGATTGATCAGCTGCGAAAACTTTATCCATAATCCTTCATTGTTTTTTGCCTTGAACCGGGGTCGCAGGCAGATGTCTAGGATGCGGACATTGGCCCACGCTCTTAATCTTGGCTATCTCTGTTACGCCTGATCCCACGTTGCGCAGTCATCAGTCCATAAAAACATTCGAGCAGGGACAATCTCAACAAATAACAAACGAGTTTTGATCTGTTGTGCCTTTGAACAAAGTAAAGGACAAGGTAGACATTGGTAGACATTGTTTTCATCATAGTATCGACGTCTGCCCCAATCCTATTAAACACCAAAACTTCCCTGACCGACGTTGTTTCCTTCTGCAGTACACCGGCCACCCAACATGGACCTACCTCGCTTCATCCTACTTTTCTACTGCTTTCTGATCGCATATGAATGTGCTGTGTACAGGTAAGAAACAGGAATTTTTAGGAATTTCCTTAGCTAGGTTGCCGGCTTCTTTGCCTTCAGAGCCTGAAAAATTGGGAGGGCCTAGAAAGGTTATTCTATATTTTACCAGCCGGCTTTGCCGGCTGATGCCTGCACGCCTTCTTCTGAGGTAAAGAATGGATTTGCTGAGCCGGCTCCGTTGCACTTATCCTTCTCCTCACCGGCTTTTCTTTTATACAGATAGTCAATAATCTTTGACCAATATGTTCATACGAGTGCACTACATGATTCTTTTATATAGTGAGATTGTAAACAATCACACATTGCCTCAAAGTGATACTAAAACATGGATTTTATTCGCGACTCTGCTTGCGGTTGATCCTTCCTCTATTCACCTTATCGCTTTGATTGGCGCTTTTATTATCACACTCGTGATGAGTTTCTACTAAACGCACTCTATGCTTCCCCTCCCGTACTCTCCCTCACTAATCCCACCCACCCACATTATACCCTCCCCACTCCCACTTGCCCCACCCACTCCCCATCCCGCCGCTGCACGTGCTCACGTCCACCTGCCACGCGAGCAGCTCGTGCAATGGTTTGGAGTGCACTACATGGTTCTCTTATATAGTGCAGGGTGTTATCACAATCAAAACATTGGATTGATACATCTGCACCAACTGGTTTCGCCACCGGCTAGCGGTCACTCTCCTACACTGACGTGTTTGAACCCGTGAAGCATTTTGCGGACGGACATACATACATACATACATACCGACAAACCGACACACAGAGTTAGTGGTTTATAGAATGTAAGGATTATTTAACCCAGCTGGCTTCTAAATCATTGCGTTCAGAGGATGCTGTTGGCACAAGCAAATTTCTAAAGCGTCATTCACACGCAATGAAACATCCACATCCACAAACAAGAATTCAATAAGGCAGCGTTCAGACTCCGCGACGACAGCGCCTCGGTCGCGCATTCGGCGCGATTGATGCGCATGCTTTCGACTGCGTCGATCGCGTGGAACCCGTGACCGAAGCGCTGCCGTCGCGAAGTCTGAACGCTGCTCAAGGTTCTGCGGCACCGTTGAAATGAGGAACTCATAGGACACTTGATAAATCCTTCATGGATTCCTCTCCACAGAGTAAGCCTTGACATCATTCTGACGACGTTGGCGAGTAGGTGAAACCCAGTAAGGCTGGGAAACCTCAACGGGAAAACTTGCTGCTCTTCCACACCAATTTCGAGCGGCAAGCGGCAAAATCGTTGACAAACAGGTTGGCGTCTAAATCGATCTTCTACAGAGATCGGTGTAAGCCTGGAGAAATCTGCAGTTAGTCTCCAGTGTCTCCAGTTTTGCCCTCATCCCTTTGCCGCAAAGCGAAGCCAGCTGTTGTACAGCCGATACCGCTACAGACGCTAAGCGGTGTGATGGAGGTAGGGTTCGCGGGGCCCTAGTCCGTTTCCCACCAGGTAGGGTCTCTTGCTCGCTTCAAGAACTGGTGAGGAATGGGTGGACGGCGCACCGAAGCCAGCCCCTCTGACACACCCCAGCGTCTGCTCCGTGAGAGGCAAGAAGTTACAAAGGCTGAGAAAAGGCGCAAAGTCAAGGGCTGTAGCACCCTATTTTTCTCCAGTGATTTCGGGGGTTCCGAGCAGATATACGTTCCATTTTCCAATGCCATTTGGTCTCGTTTGAAGCAGTGCATCCCGCCCACTTGAACTAATGGGAAACCACTGTCATAACCTGATTAGGTTCAGTAGTCGAATAATATTTGTAAAGAAAACTGTCTGAGTAGCAAAAAGATACCCTGAGAAATCTGCAAAACGAAGCGAGAATGGCTGACCTTCGATAACGAAAGCGCTGTTCTTCGGTTTTCTTCAACTGCGCCATTTTCTGAGCGAAGTTCGTTACAGTAACTTAGCCCGTCTATGAGACTTTGTGAGGCTGCTTATTCATGAGATGTGGTCGAAATTTGTGTTTCCAACCAGAGTGGTGAGTGGATGGGTTGGTGAATCCGTCATGACAATTCCAGCGCTCCTTTACAATGGACTATAGTTGGGAGCAAGTCGGAGGTCTTGGAAGGAGAAAAATAGCTAGCAAGAAGGAAAGAGATTAGTTGGTCAAGTAAAGTAAGTAATAAATACTCAAGTCAGTCGGGGGTGAAAGGGGAGTGGAATGGCGTCAGCCTGTTTTCCATAGATCCTTGCGGCCTCAGGCGTTCAATGGGTGCTGGGAAAGGGAGTGGCGCTGCGCCACAAACCATGTACCTCTGACACGCCTAGACTGACTTCGGTGATAATGACGTAGAAGGTAGCAGCGTGACGGCAAAGCGATTATGCCGTTACCAAATGGCTGTAGCTACCACTGTTTCTAACCATGTAGGAAATCTTCGATCACCGCTGTAACCAAACCGATGAACCTATTATGCTCTAGCAGTACTTGTTCTCTACTCTGTAATCGCTACATGGTCCCATGTGAACGTTTTCATTTCAGGCCTAATCGTGCGAAGCGGTGCTACGGACCTGGATGTGCATGCAACTTCAATCAAGGAGGAGGCGGTTTCTACCCAGCCGGAGGATTCGGTCGAGGATATTTCGGTGCTATGGGGAAGACGAGGATTCTTCGGAGGGAGAAGATTCGGTGGTGGTTTCGGTCCTATGGGTCCAATGGGTCCGGGTCCAATGGGTCCAATGGGTCCAATCGGTCCAGCGGGTCCAACGGGCTGTGGAATGGGTGGAATGCCTCCTCCTCCGCCTCCTCCAGTTGCAGGTAAGTGTTTCGTGGCGTTGCAAAACAGTCAAGCCAAGTGTGAATCATTCGGAAACTTCACTTCGTGGATAGTTTCGTTAAGCATCCGAAGAACCGATGTGTGTTCGCACAGCAGTAATTTCACTGCAAAGAGAATTAATGCACGGAAACGCAAGCATTTCCATGCATTTTTTTCAGAATCGCAGTTCCGTAAAATGATGTCACCGTGTGTTTCTCTCCTTTCCTATGATCGCCATCAGGCAACATTGATTGAGCTTTTAGAATTCGGAGAAATTTTCATTCTACAGTTCGACTAATCCTCATTAGATCTCCCCCTGTAATGTGACGTATTGTTTTGATTGGAAAAAAATTTTGCATTTCCGAGGCTCAAGAAGAGGTCCATGTCACAGCAGAATCTTCCGGCTGTTCTTCTGTCAACTAGATTATTTTAGCTCAATTTCCGCCCTCTTCAATGATTCAGTGTGGTCTGCTTTTCTTTGCGATTTCCCTTTTCAAAGTCCAACAAGGTTCAACCTTTGCCACTAGCTGAAAACATGCAATACCAGAGCAGGGTTCATCATTGGTTGGGGATTTTAGTTGAGTCCATGCACCCCCCCCCCTCCGGCCCAGCCCACTCTCCCTCCTCGAATCGAGCCGTCGAGCGCTAGGGGGGGGGATATGTAGTACATGAATAGGAAAATCACGAAAAGTCAACCACTTCCCCCACGGGGCACCAGAAAGTAATGACCCCACCCTCCCAACAACGGGCGAGTACGACCACCCTTTTACAACGTCCGTGAAGCGAGAAAAATCAACTACCCAAATAAAATATCAAAACAAATTTTTCTCAGCCCAAATACGACCCCCCCTGTTGGGGATTCCCCAACAACGATGTGCCCTGCATCAGAGGGTTCCTGAGCTTCATTGATCATAGGTCCTTCTTTGTGGGTGAATTATAATGCAGCGTTCCCTCTATCTGCACTAATTTCGAAACGTAGAGCCCCTTGCTTCAGGTCTACAAAGTAGTTTTTATATTGCCTCTAACTACTATACATACATACCAAGACATCCAAAGAGGAAACAATCAAGTAACAATTGACCGCTTCCTATGGAAGAGAGCGTATAGGGTACGAGTACGGTTTGTGGAGGATGCGCAGATGTCTTTCGCCAGTGATGACAAGCAGTGACGACGGAAATGTGTGACTCGAATCGCAAGAATCCCTTCACGCCAGCAAATGTTTCTCACTACTATCACTCGTTTTCTAAGCCTACTTTAAACTATTTTCGGGACTCCTTCGAGTCATTAACAACGCACGTTGATGAAAGGCAAAGCGTTTAGTAGAAGAGCACTAGAAGACTTCATAAAAATGGGACTGCGGATCTGCTGGCAGAAATTGCCAATGGTACTACCGTGGGCGAGGTCACAACTCAACCGAATATCTTTTCAGAAATAAGTTTCTTTCATTGTTGGTTTGATTTTCCAGCCAAAACAGTCATAACTTTACAGCTGATATCGTCGCAATCATCGGTGACTATGTCAAAAGATATGACATAAGCGCCCCAACTGCGATTTCACTGCAAACTGTTTTCTCTCTTCGATACACTAGCCGGAAGTACGAGCTAAGGGCTAATGCCGCTTTGACTCCAGCATTCGTCGACACCGAGCGTCATTTTAGGGCACTAAAGTCACCAAATCCGCTAACAGAGCCTTCGTATTAGGGAGGTTAGTTGCAACAACCGCGATTACTAGAGTATACATTCATCTCTTGCGCTGGCGCTGAATGGATGTCACTTACGATTATCTGCGAAGGCTGAAGCCGAGAGGTAATTCGTTACGTGTATCTTTCAAATTCGGCGCTGACGTCAAGTGATTGTCATAATTGTAATCACGATGTCAAATAACCCTTGTGTACATGCTTTAGTGGGTTTGGTGACTTGGGCAATTTAAAAATGAGCTCGGTGCCGAAATTTCTGGAGAAACGGCATTAGCCCTCCTAAGGCAGCGTTCAGACTTCGCGACGGCAGCGCCTCGGTTGCGCGTTCGATTGATGCAGTCGAAAGCATCCACATCGATCGCGCGAATGTGCCGACCGAGGCCCTGCCGCTCGCGAAACCTTGAACGCATGCGCTTAACACCGCTCGGCTGCATACATGACCTCAAACTTTATTTAACCATATTCATACCAAATCAAAATATCCAACTTTATAACTGAACGAAATGAATAGAAGTGAAAACATTTCAGCAGCCGGATCATCAAGCCAGCAGGACCTCAGCATCACTACCAATGTGAACGTCAGGTCTGGAGCAGCGAGTAATTCATATGTAGCAGGCTGAAAATTGCCTCCTTTCGACATTCACTTACTCTCTGTGTTCATAAAAAAATTGTTTCGTTCATAGGTAGTTAAATCATCTGATATTCGAGTGCAGAGCTCGCGCTGTGGCTGCATATTCCAGGTGTGGAATTTACCACCTAGGCGCAGCAGAGTAGGCGTCGCAAGCTGGGTTCGCAGCATCCGCATCAGGACCTAACCCACTAAAAATGGCAGCGGCACTGTGTGTTGACTTAATTTGATAATTAGTACAGCAACGCCGCGATTAGGAAATAATGCTCCTCACCTGCCCATTCCAGTGGTATCGCAATCGCTTAGCCAATAGAGTGAGGCATTCAGGGGTTAGGAAGCAGAACTCTGATTGGTTGGATGCACATTTCCATACCGGAATGCGCTACAGTGAGAACATGCCTCGAATCAGAACCGAATTTATTGTTGTAGGACGAAAATTGTGCACCATACAAAGGCAAAAATAAACTTTCATTGAATTTCGTTTCGTTTTCGGAATAAAAGCATTGGCACAGCAAACATGATCTGATTGAACGAGTTTGAAGAAGATATTTACCAACTTCTTCTGACCTCCTGGTACTCAGAGGCCCTTGTTGCTACCACATAAATCGTTTGCTGAGATACTGCTGAATAACACCCAAGAGTACCTGAGAGTTCCACGTTAGGATATCAGAGAACCCTTGAGATCGGTCGAAGAACATCGATTATTACGAAAAGGATGTATTACTAGGTCAACGAAAAGATACTGTATATTTTTTAAAATTGATTTATATTGTTGCGCAATAAGGGGCGGGATTACAGTTGATGCGGTATGGTCATAATCTGGTGGGGCCACTTCAGGAGACGCAGATTGAACCCACCCGCGACTGCTTTTGTGCCACTACTGTTTTTTGCCTGACACATCCCCACAGGATTCACCGTACGAGGGAGCTCATTGTTTTCTCGGTATAGGTATGATAGGTATGATGGAAAAGGTAGAAAATTTTGAGTAAAATCCAGTTTAGTGTTGTCACCCGTAACCTCGATACAGTTGTTTTCCTGAGAAACTAACTTTTGAATACCTTCCAAATA